TTCAGTGCTAACATTGATTTTTTTATCACAAAAATCACTTTGTAGATGTTCAGCCTTCTCTGTTAGCTATTTTCTTTTTCTGTATGTTATAATAGCTAAAGAAAGGGAAATCCAAATTGATGTCTTCTAATAGATCTGTTGACAAACTCAGCCAGGACAGTTTAAAAGAAGGAACAGTTTTGAAGTTTTTGACACTCTATGTGAAGTACTTTACATTTAGAAAAAAGTACTTACAATCATTTGAATAATTCAATAATTTTGTAACAAAAAATCAACCTGATATTTAACAATCCTAGTGGAATCCTGTCAACTGATTTTAAATGTGATTGAGATTTAGAGATGATGCAAACTTTACAGTTGTAAAATGCATTATTAAATTGTTTTACTGCTAATGATAGCTCATTTATTTCCTGCAAATTTTGCACTGTTTCTTTGGCTTGTGAATCAAATGTCTCTAAGGCAATAAATTTCCCAAGTCCCAGTGACCCAAAGAAAAGCCTTTCAAAAGAAGCATAACTTAATATATGGCTCTAAAGTCAGACAGAAAAGAAACCTGTTTACTTGTGTCTCATCCAGTATTCCTCAAAATATCCAAAGAACCCTTTTATTTCCTTGTTAAAATTCCTAGGAAGACTTTGAGGACATACTGCTTTAAAGAAAACAGTTGGCCTCAATAGTGGTGTTTGAACATCAAGGACCTATCATATTAGTCATCTTTTTTTTTTTTTTTGTTCATGCCAGGCCTGGGGCTTGAACTCAGGGCACTGTTCCTGAGCTTCTTTGTTCGAGGCTAGCACTCTACCACTTGGGCCACAGCTACACTTCTGTTTTGTTGTTGTTGTTAGTTTATTGGAAACAAAGAGTCTCACAGACTTTCCTGCTTGGGCTGACCTCAAACCATGATCCTTAAATGTCAGCCTCCTGAGTAGGATTATGGGCATGAGCCAACAGTGCCCAGCACATCTTTTTCTTTTTGGGGGAGTCAGTGGCAGTTCCAGCACCTATTTGAAAAAAGCTAATCAACACAAAGTAGCTGCCAACTGCCAACATTCTTTCTTCAGCAGATTTGTTTAATGTCATTGTTCTCTACTTTAATTGGTTTTGATTATAAAGATATCAAGACTAATGGCTCACCCTTCTGCACAGAAATAAATTTGCCTATATTCATACAAACAACCACAGCGAAAGGATAAACCACATAATACATTAATTCTGTTGCTACTTACCTGACTTCCAAGTATATTTTTTCTTCAGTTCCTCAAAATAATTAGGGAGCTGGATGCCACTGGCTCACGCCTGTAATCCTAGCTACTCAGGAGGCTGAGATCTGGATCATGGTTCAAAGCCAGTCGGGGCAGGAAAGTCCATGACACTCATCTCCAATTAACCACAAAAGGCCAGAAGTGGAGCTGTGGCTTGAGCAGTAGGGCCCCAATCTTAAGCACAAAAGCTCAGGGCACCACCCAGCTTCTGGACTGGCAAAAAATAAACTAGGGATCACTGAACACTAAGCGTCATGTAATATGACTTTGCTACCATTGACTGAACAAATAAGCAAAAGCAGAAATGTTCCCCCTGGCATCTGTAATGACATTTTGCATTAGTGCTATACAGTTAGCTTAAAGGAAGCTTAGAGTTAATTTACCATGGAATCTGTGGGGCATCATGATTATGATGGTGAAAGATGCAGGAGTCCTTTCATCTGCCATGCCTCATGTGACTTCAGTTTCATGACTGGCACTGGTCTGAACTCAAGTATTAAAGACAGATTATATCTGTGTCTAAGAGTCTTAAAATACATTTAGTCATATAAAAAATTTCTCTTTGTCTGGATGCTGGTGGCTCATGCCTGTAATCTTACTGAGGAGGCTGGAATCGTGGTTCAAAGCCAGCCCAGGCAGTAAAGTTCGTGAGACACTTATCTCCAATTAAACATCAGAAAACCAAGCCGGGCGCTGGTGGCTCACGCCTGTAATCCTAGCTACTCAGGAGGCTGAGATCTGAGGATCTCGGTTCAAAGCCAGCCCGGGCAGGAGAGACCATGAGACTCCTATCTCCAATAAACCACCAGAAAACCGGAAGTGGCGCTGTAGCTCAAGTGGTAGAGCGCTCGCCTTGAGCTGAAGAGCTGAGGGACAGCGCCCAGGCCCAGAGTTCAAGCCCCACGACCAACAAAAAAAAAAAAAAAAGATCAGAAAACCGTAAGTGGCGCTATGGCTCAAGTGGTAGAGCGCTGGCCTTGAGCTGAAGAACTCAGGGACAATGCCCAAGCCCAGAGTTCAAACCCTACAACTGACAAAAAAAATTCTGTTGGGCTGGGAATGTGGCTTAGTGGTAGAGGTTCAATTCCTCAGTACCATATAAATAGAAGAGGCAGGAAGAGGTGCTGTAGCTCAAGTGGTAGAGTGTTAGCCTTGAGGAAAAGCATCTCAGGGACAGTGCCCAGGCTCTAAGTTCAAGCCCCAGGACTGGCAAAAAAAAATTTAAACAGTTTTATTTTAGCAGCTCAGTTTTATTACATTCTACATGTCTTTTAACATATTTATATTTCTGCCCCTGCATAGGTGGCATACTCGTAGTTGGCCTTTTCATTTGATATTCGCTGCTACTTGGCCTGAAGAAAGTCGGAAGTTTAAATAAAATGTGCTTGGTGGAAACAGAGCAGCATTTCTTTTCCAGCAGAACTTTACTTTGATCCAGACTTCAGTGTCAAGTTTTCTTCTTCTTTCTCAAATCCTGAACAGACCAGAGATCTTCCCTTCGGGTATCGAGCACAACACTTACGTAGTTCTTGGATGACAATCTGACACTTCAATTCATTGTAGTTGTTGGCTGGAAAAATAGGCACATTCTAGTCATGATCTCACAGTACTAAGAAGACTCAAGGAGGTTTAGATAAAGCCTTTCTCACCCCTTTTGACTTCCAGTAGTTATGTAACTGGAAGAGAGGAGATAAACTCAAGTCCACTGAACTCTTTCTCAGGAGGCCAGTTGGAAAGAAAAGTATGACTTACAAAGTAGTTGGAAGCTATGTTAAAATAGATTTCCCTTTTCCTTTAAGGTAGCATGCCCTTTTCCAGCATGCCCTTTGTGATTTTCGTAATGAAAAAAAAAAAAAAAAGACACATAGCCCCATTATTTATCTACAGTTTAAGCTGATGGTTGGACTTTTCCTATCAAGTTTAAGTCTGTCCATCAGGATATGGCAAACCACTTGAGGGTCAAATTTAGACCCCCCCCCCATTTTTACATTGGAGGTAAAAATGGCTTTTAGATTTTGAACGGGTTATAAATACACACACAGGGAAAGAAGCCTGAAACTTCACTAATTAACCAGCAAAAAGCAGGTAATAGAGGCTCAACTGGTACATTTTTGGCCTTGAGTGAAAAAAAAAAACAAGCAAGAGTGAGAGGTCCTGAGTTCAAGCCCCAGTACAAGCCCAAACAGCAACACCAAAAAAATCTGCAATTCTATTTTACCTCAGTCAGCAATAAGTTGCTGATAAGAGAATAAGTGGTCTCTTATAGTTCCCACAGTCAAAAAATATTTAAAAACATTTTACATATTACCTTGTAAACATTTCTGTATTTCACAGGCTTGTTTCTGGCATGGATCCTTTGGCAGCATATTCAGAAAACTAAAACAAGAAAAATAATTTAAATTTTGGTTTTCTCTTTAACCAGAAAGACTAAAACTTCTGTACATGGAATTTTCTTCTGGAACAAGTAGTAGGCCCTTATAATTGCTGGAAAGCATTTACACTGAAAGTACTCTTCTCATTCATGGGAGGAGTTAACTATATTTTAATAATATTTATTAATTTTGGAAAATATAAATGGCTTGACATAAAAATTAAAGCTCATTTTGAATATCATATCAATGTTGCATTGACACCAGAGCTTGGCAGTCCTGGCCCACTGCCCAGCTCTATGATTCACAGAAGAAACTCTTGACAAAGGGTTAAACTCAAGCATTTTTCTTCACTGCTTATGTGGATGGGAATCATACCTACCTCAAAGCATTGATGGAAGGACTAAATGTGACAAAGTATATAAAATACACAGGATAGTGACTGGACTATATGGTAGCCTATTATTCCCAAGTATTACTTTTTTCTTCCTCATTTTTTGTTAAGCGTGATGTTGCTATGCTGTCCAGGCTGTCCTTGAACTCCTGGGCTGAAGCGATCCTCCTGTGTCTGCCTCCCCAGTAGATGGGACTATAGATGTGTACCACTTCTTCTGGCCAAGACTTGTTTTAAAAAGTAAAAACCCAATGTATATAAACTGACTATTAGCTCAGGAAATTCCTTACAGGCAGTACATACTTCCCTAGAAATCAGCAATATTTGGTGCTATTACTTCCTGAGCAAAGTGTCAGTTAAGTAGCTAACGTGATTTCTTTTGAGAGCCCTTATGAAAACCAGCTTATTTAAAATATCTATAACAAGAAAAGGAATTAAAAAAATGCTCCTAGTCTTGATCAGCAACTTTTTTCACAATTTGAAAACACAATTTCAGAAAGAAAAGCCTAGAAGCATTTGTAGCTAATCAGTGCAAATAACATCCCTCCTCCAGAATCTAAATTAGGTAGTACTAGGGTGGGAAATACTAGAACAAAACTTAAGATATTTACAGGATAGAAGGAAAGGCAGGTGAATTTGCTGCAGGGCAAATAAGTGACAAATGGATGTTGATGCTGCTAGGAGCTGCTCTTTTCCCTCTAAATCAGTACCAAGTCCTTGGTGATCAGGGCATCTGTTCGGTAGCACAAGCTGATTTTGTGGGATTCATGAGATCCCGGTTCCAGCCGATGATGTCCATTAAAGGTTCTATGGCAATTTCCAAAGAAGTCAATTTCAAGTTACGTGTGATCGCTACGTGCTTTGATTTGCTTTCTGCCTGAGTTACCCCCTCTCTGCAGTGTCATTTGCAGTATTCTTCATGACCCTTCCTAAACTTCTGTGTCCTTGAGCAGTTTTTCAACCCGCTCCCTCCCCCAGGCCCAAGAGTGGGTGCACTGCAGTGGTGGATGAAGTGATTGCCATTTAATGAATTGAACAGAGGAGCATATCTTCCTAGAATCACAGCACCTGGAAAAAAAAATCATTAAAATCACCATAACTGAATAGAGTAAAAATGAGGAAGGGGGAGGAAGGCAGAGAAATAGAAATACTCACCAGGTTAATCATCAGGCAAAAGCTTAAGCAACAGTTCCTGTACTCCCCTGACCTGTCAGAAAAAGAAAAATTTTATAGAGTAATCTATTATAGGAGTCCCAATACAATGGAAAATGATTAAGCAACATGTGTACCATTAAATGATGCTGTATTTGCCACAAGCGAGAGTTGTTATCCATGTAGCGCTCCTCTGGGTAGAGTTGCCACATGAGAGGTAGTTGGGAGGTAACAAGATGACTTGGCCTAGCTGGGTCACCTAAAGGAACCTGAACTTGCTGGACTCGTGCCCTTAGGAAACTCGTCTCCTAATGGGAATGATCAAAAACAAAACCATAGACTTCAGGATATTGAGACTAGATAGAAATCAAGTTATTTGAATGCAAAATCAAATAAGCAAAATGAGCAGTTACCTCTTCCACGACAGCCACCCATGTGCGTTGGTATTCGTCTCGGTAGATACCCTCTTGGTGAACCCAGAGATGATCGGGTGGAGCCCCCACATCCTCTCTTGCCATTCTGGGCTTTGGGTTCCAATTCTATCCCTGCTTTTCTCCACCTAAGCCTGCAGCACCCGTGCACAGGACACAGGTGTGACTTTTGGGTTGGAATAAACTCACCAATGAGCAAGGTGATTGGTGATTAGCAACCACCTATCAGAACCAAACAAACCTGTTTGAACAGCCTAACTAGAACTAGTGCCATCTGAAGCTTTCTGAAAGACTGAAAGTGACACTGAAGTGACACTTGGGCAAAGCCTTCTAAGTGGGTTCTGTGTTAATGTAGTTTGCATGACAGGAGGCTGGGCCCTATTCTCATCCTCTGCATTCTCAAAGTAGTGCCTGGCAAAATGTAGTTAGTAATAGGTAAAATGCACAATAGGGTGCCTAAGTTGGCAGAAAGGCAATAAAATAAGCACATGCATACCATACTCCCTAGGTAAAAACCACTTCTAAGCAGCTTCCATTTAAAAAATGGCAAGATTGGGGCTGGGAAGGTGGCTCAGTGGTAGAGCGCTTGCCTTGCATGCATGAGGCCCTGGGTTCAATTCCTCAGCACCACATAAGCAAAAAGAAAAAAGCCGGAAGTGGCACTGTGGCTCAAGTGGTAGAGCGCTAGCCTTGAGCTGAAGAGCTGAGGGACAGCGCCCAGGCCCAGAGTTCAGGCCCACAACTAGACCCCCCCCCCCCAAAAAAAAGGCAAGATTCTCAATGATGTGTATGTTTGTTTCAATTCAATATTCTACAGGAGCTAGAGAGGCATAAATTTTTATTCCCCATGCTAGAAGTCCACAGAAGCACTTTTGTACTCTGAGAAGTAGAAAGGAAGCACACTTCCAGGAGTGGATGGTAAGGCCAACTCTAGCCCTAGATCTCATTTGAGGACCTTGTCATTATTTTGGGTGTGTCAGTGTTGGGGAATTATTTCAGGGCCTTGCACAGTTTTGCTCAAGGCTGGTGGTCTACCACTTAAGCCATGCCTCCACTTTCTATGTGTTTCTTATGACTCAGTTTCATAGCTTCATGGTACAGTTTGTATATCCACCTCTCACATAGCAGAGATATGAAGCTAGAGCATCTGTCCCAGTACACAAGGCCTCCTATTCCCATGAAGTAGCCATTATGTAGGAAATAAAATGTAGCACAGCTTGGGAGGTGGTTAGCACATCCAAAGTGAGATTATCCAGAACAAACCAGATGCTACAACATATGATACATTAGATGAAAAAAAATAATGTATCAGGAGCTGGGAAGGTGGCTCAGTGGTAGAGCGCTTGCCTTGCATGCTTGAGGCCCTCAGTTCGATTCCTCAGCACCACATAAGAAGAAAAAGCCAGAAGTGGGGCTGAGGCTCAAGTGGTAGAGTGCTAGTCTACAGCTGAAGAGCTGACGGACAGCGCCCAGGCCCAGAGTTCAGGCCTCACGACTGACAAAAGAAAAAAAAAATGTATCAACCTACACTAATTATTAATTCTTTTTCAAGTATAACATTCTGAATCTGGCTTTTGTTTTTTTAACAGTTTGACTTCTCTAAAAGGAAAGTACAAAAGGACATTTATGGACTTATGAAATGGTTTGTCTTTGTGAATAATTTTTAGAGCATCATACTTGCTTTACCCAGTATGACCTGAGAGGATCTCACTCTGAGCCTGCATACATTTCTATTTTCACATGGATATACTCTGTTATTTCAAATTAATCTAAGATGAAATCTTTTCTCCTTAGCCAAATCTCAATTTCTTTCAATGATAACACCACCTCTCATGCAGAATGAAAACTAGTTTTCTTAGATGTCTTCGTTAATAGCTACCTACATCTTATCCGGCACCAATTGTAGCAAGTACCACCACTATCATTGGTATCCAAACTAAACTTTCCACTGGATACCAGGTTTATCTCAAGATCCATATCTTTTCCTTTCTACTTTTCTAAAATTCTTAACTCTCTAGTTGTATTTTTCCAAGCACTTTCTCATTAGCAGATAAAACTGTTCTGTCTCTTTTCTCCAGAGGTTTGGAAAGAAGAGACAAACAGAACCTCAGCAAATGCTAATACTGAAATAAAATATAATAAAGCCTTGATTTTTTTTAGCACAAAAGACAACAGTTGTGGGCCAATTTTTTAAAAGTAGAAACCAATGTTAAAGATTCAGAACCACATGAACTTCATTGATATGTCTTTGTAACAACCAACATGTTGACATTTATATTTCTTTTAAATGAAAACAAAACCTTACTCATTATCCCAACATTGAAAGGAAAAATATCCAATAGAACACAGGGCAAAGAGTTTGCAGGTGATGTTCTGAATCACTGAGTTACTACAAAGCGAGCCTATGACTCAGTACAAAATATCCTCAGAAGAAAGGCAGCGTAATGTGCTTCTGTGACCCTAAAAAGGTTAACATGCTGTATAATCCAGATGAGCCTGGGAACAACCCTTAGCACATCTGTGTGGACCTGCATGTGCTACCATTCAGAGACCATCAAGGCCCAGAAACAGGCAACTGTAGTGATGAAGGGACAGAGAAGTCATTACATGAGCATGACCCATAAGCATCCTCCTCTGTGGAGAAATGCAAATGCTGAGATCAAAGCCTATAAAAAACAAAACCACAGATTAAATGAATGGAGCACCATTCATATGTGCTATGTGATTCTTATAACAATTGCTCCCAATACTTTCTTGGGGGGTTAAATAAGTTTGGGAGTTATAAAACACATCAGAATAGTAGAAGGTCCAGGAAATTATGCAGTAAAGAAACTTTGTATTGTTTAACATTTCCCAAGTTTATTTGACTAGAGATCATTTTTGTACATAACACTTGTTCACAAAATTCAGAACTTTGAACAAGAATGGATCTCTTAAAAAATCTCAAGATAAACTTAGGTACAAGGTACATACAACTAAGTAATTAAACCCAAGGAATAGTACTAGTTGCAAATGCAAATGGCTTCCAAAATATGTTTAGGTAACTTTACATCATCCACTAAAAGAGACTGTCCCCAAGGTGTCACTTTGACACTAGAGGCAATTTTGTCCTCAACACAGTACTCTTTGGCATTGTGTAAACTAGGTTCTAAATGGATGACATGAAACATAGAAAGGCTTCTGTAGTAATTTATATAAAATGATCATTTTCCTTTATAGAATGAATTTTGTGTCTTCTTAAAAATTACAATTTATTTTGAGATGTGTGAACAGTTTTTAAACATTAGTGAGTACATTTACTTGAAGTCATCTAATAAATTTATGCAAGTACAATGGGTGAAATTACCAAGAACCCAGGCCCCCAAATTAGCCTGGCCTGTGAATGAATCCTGATTCTGTCTCTTATAAGCTTTGTGCTCTTCAGTAAGTTAATATCCTGCTACCTCAGTTTCCTGAGAACTAAAGGACATATTAATTATAATGGTACTTAGCACTTGTTATATGTTTTACATATGTACACATATGGTGCTCTGAGGTTGGTACTATTGTCTATACTTAAAGGTGAAGTAAAGGCAGAGAAGTTAGATAACTTTTGTAAGATTAGACAGCTAGGATTTGCCGGGCCTAAATCCAACTAGGGCAGTTTATACATAGAAGGTATAGAAATGCTTGGTAGAGTATGTAGCACACAGTACGCTTGCTATAAATGTTAATAAGGGGTTTTCTGCTCCACTTAAATGGTTGGAGCAGTAAAAGGTGGCCATGAACATTATCAAAGTTAGTAAATGCTATTCTGGAATATGAGGTTGAATAACTTCAACAAAGGTGTTTTTCTCTCTAAAGGTGCCTAAAAGAATTTTATAAACTCAAAATACCCAGATCATCAGGAAAGATGAACAGTCCTTGCTGCCCTCATCGAAACAAGACACAGTAGCCATGAAAAATTAACTGAAAGTAACAGATGACATAAAATCAAAAGAAAGAAGGTAAATAGATCCAATGTGATTATACACTTTCATTTCCCCAGCTTGCATACTTATCACACTTAATTGTGGAAATGTGTGCTATGTGATCCATAAGCATTAGGTAAAAACAGGCTGCTGGTATTGTGCTACGGGATTTGGGACCCTGTTTGTGAGAAGACTTGAGTTGGAACTGATTTGGGAGAAAAGAGCAAAGCATCAACACCTTCTTTTAAGTAGCAGCTTAAGAATGTTCCCTTAAGAATATACTGCCACATCTGCCTGGTTTGCGGAACTGCACAGGGATCAGAAAAACAAATAAAAGAAACAAACGTAGATTGGTAGCAATGCAAACATTTTCTTGGCTTTAGTACTGCTCCTAAAATCCTCATGAAAATAGTAAACTGGTAAATTGGGTACTTTAACTCTTCTGACGTTGGTCGATAAAACCCCAAATAAAATTCCTTTTACGTGTCATTTCACCATCAGGATAGGATCTGAGGAAACGTGTTAATATGTGGTAAGACACTTTTGAACTTGAATTAAAAAGTCCTTCAATTCCCCTTCCCTGTCTCGAACAGATATGTCAAAAAGCCTTTGTAGAAAGCAGCGGCAGCCAGCCCAGCTGAAGAGTGATTAGCACTGTTTCTGTAAAAGGTTACTCACATGAATACAACGTTTCTTTGGCTAGTTATTCCGCCTCCAGACCAGCTAGGCTAAAACTTCCAGGTCCCCCACCCGGGCCACTCAAGCGGCGGCGGCGGCGGCGGCGGCGTGAGCCCAGGGCCAGGGCCGGCGGAGGGACATCCGGGGTCGAGGTTGCCAGAACCGAAGTTCGGGGACTTTGGGCCGGCAACCGGAAATGGTGCTGAGAGACTTGGAGATTTACTGGCTGACTTGGAAATTAAAAAAATCAATCAATCAATCAATAAATCAAACAAACCCTTAACTCTTTTGGGACCGAGTTTCAAAAGAGCGTCCCTCTGGCTTGAGAGGCCGGCGTCCGCGGCGATGTCGCCGCAAAGGCTGTCCCCGAAGCGTGTAGGCCGCGCGAGCTGCGCGTCGGCGAGCCAGCAAGATGGGCGCCGGCGCTCGGGACCAGTCAGCCTAGGCGCCTGGGGCGCCGCTCACAGACCAAGTCCCCCAGAGGCCGAGGAGCGCACTCTCCCACGGGCGTCCCTGCGCCCCCGCCTAAAACCCCAACTCCGCTCGGCCCCCTCCCTGTCCCAAGGCCACGCCCGCCCCAAATGGCGCGGGCGTTTCTCAGGTGCTGCCGGGCGGGCCCCGCCCCCGCGCTTGCCCAAGCTCCGCCCCCGCGGGCTCGCGGAAGCCTGGCCGGGGCGGAGCGCCGAGCGCAGAGTGCGGGGGAGGCTGCGCGGGAGCCCTGGCTGGAGTGGGCCCTAGGCGGATGTGAACTGAGCGGACCAAGATGGCGGTACAGGTGGTGCAGGCGGTACAGGCAGTTCATCTCGAGTCTGATGCTTTTCTAGTGTGTCTCAACCACGCTCTGAGCACAGAAAAGGAGGAGGTGATGGGTCTATGTATAGGGGAGGTGAGTAGGTCAGTAGGCCTGATTGGAAACCTGCTGAGCAGTCTCGGGGTCCCAGGGACGGCGGGGAGGCCACAGGGAGCCCAGGATTAAGATCCTTGGAAGATCTGTACTTGGGTCTGTAGCTGGGCATCTTTCCTTCCGACCGAGCCGTAGCGGTCTACGTAAGCACCACGGCGGAAGAGATGCTTCTGAGGTTATCACCCCATTGACCCGAAGTGCAAATCCGGCCCGAAAGCAGACGTGTTGAAGACATCTAGGCATTCCGAAGCCGCAGACCATGGTTAGAGCCTCTTGTCGCCAAACCAGGCCTCCCTTTGGGGAAGCGCAAGTATTGATAAAGCTTTTTAAAGCGTAGCAAAGAAAGAAGAGAGAAGGGTTTCTTAATGGACTCCAAAGTTTTCGTTGTATTGATGTTGAAAAGGGGCCAAAGAGGATGAGGAAATGAAGTTTGGCGGTTTTCAGTCAGAAGTCATTTTCTTTCACGCCAGCATATAGGAACACATCACCGAATTTTCTTGTAATCTGCATCCCGGTAATCAAATAAGCACAATGTGTTAAATAATGTTTTCTGCTTTTTCCCACTCTAGTTGAATGATGACACAAGGTAAGATTATTTACTCGTCTTATGATCTCTAACTCATCGTTGACAGAAAAATTATTAAAACTTTGGTAACATATTACCTCTTGTATCTTATATTACCATTAAGAGTCAAACCAGATGCATATAATTACCTGAGTTTCAAAGATCCTTTCCTGGCTTGTTAACAGGATTTTCATACATGAAACTGGGAAAAAATATATAGATAAATATATATGTATGCATTCATATATATGCTTCTATATACAAACATTTTTAAAAGGAACTAAGATCATAGGTGAATCTGTAAAAGCTCTTATAAATACAGTTTTGTTGGTTGAAACAAAGGTGTCATATATTATGTTTACACTTAATGATATTGCATTTTCTTGCTTTATGTATTTCATATTAGTTCTCCCTTGAAATGTCAGTGAGATACCAGTAACTTTTTTGTGGCAAACAATATACACATTCACATGCTTTCTCCCTGTTGATCTATTCCTCCGTCTAAATTGACAATGGCTTTCTCCCTCCCATCTTGGAGGACTCTACAGCAACTCCAGAGATCTCCAGTAGCTTCAGCGCTTGAGATGTAAAACTTTTTGGGTAACTTCCTTTAAACTTTTTCAAAGCATACCTTACTGTACTTCTCAAGCACGCCTCGTTTATACCCACAGGTCCAGTTGTACCTTACATTACCATTAATACATTCCTAGTAAGGTTGCCATTGTAAAATTTGTTAATCCTGTTAATTAGCTTGAGCTCCTTTTTCTATTCCAAACTCCAGTTACCCCCTCCCTTTATTTCCCCTACTCTCTCCCCAATAGGAGTGACTACAAATTTCTATGTACTGGAACTGAAACACGCACAGTTGCTGAAAAGGTATGTGTGTTTGAATTCTGCATGACAGAAATTAACACTGCGGAGAGATTTCTGTATTTTGATGACCTCAGCCAGAGTATTAATTCAGTTTTTGAATGAGTACACTGTTATTTCTAGTAAAAATCTGATGAAAAAAATCTACTCATTAGAAATGTGAACTAATTCTCTATTCCTTGTAGTAGTTTATAATATTTCATCAAAATGGATAAACACATCAGAACACTTATGCTTATTTCATTACTGGGATGCTGATTACATGAAAATTAGGTCATGTGCTCCTATACACTTCCATAACAATTATTTCTGACTATAAATGGACAAACTGCATTTCCTCCTCCACCTCCTCCTCTTCTTCTTCCTCCTTGTCCTTGTCCTCATCCTCCTCCTGTCACTGCCTGTTAGCATGTGTTTCTCATCAGTGTAACCCCCTAATTCCAAATCCCAAGATAATCTCAGTAACCCCATTTCTTTATACAATCAAACTATTCATATTATCCTAGTTGTTACTCTACTTTGGGTTTTTTTCTTCTGTCTACAGCCACACTCCACCTTTTCTGGCATGTTCCAGTAGTTGTATATAAAACCAGTTAATTTTTCCTCCAATATATCACATATCTATGCTTTTTTGTTTTGTTCCAGTACTGTGGCTTGAACTCAGGGCTTTGCACTCTCAGTGCAAAGCCATTAGCCATTTGTGGCTAATGCTTTACCTCCACTTTTGGCTTTTTGCTGGTTAATTGTAGATAAGTCTCTCAGATTTATCTGCCTAGGCTGGCTCCAAACCATAGTTCTCAGATCTCAGCCTCCTAAGTAGCCTAGGTTATGTAGGTGTCAGCTACTGGTGCCTGGCTCAGACCAGTGCTTTTGTAAAGTAGAATAAAAACACCTTACTTCCTTTTCCCAAAGCAACTAGGCAGAACTCCACTTTACAAAAATTTCTTCACTGCGCATAGCTTTTTTTCCCTTTGTATTAGTGTTCTCTACAGGAATAGAACCAAAAGAATATACATGTATATGCGCCCATACATACAAACACAGACACAAACATACACATACACAATTATACAAGGGGATTTATTAAATTGACTTAAACATTAGAGACTGTATAGTTCAACGGTGACCAGAGAACCTGGTAGCTGCTCAGTTTAAAGGCATAAAAGCTTCAGCACAAAGGGAAATAATGATACAGCCCTAATCCAAAGGCTTAAAGGCCTGGAAGCATCTTGGAAAGTTGCTAGTAAGCCCATGCAGAAAGCTGGAATCTTACGTATCCATTGGTGATGGCAGAAACAATCAACACATCTGTTCAGGAAGAATGGAACTTCCATGCACTGGCTGGCTTCCTCCTCCTTACTCCTTTATTTCATCCAGGTACCCAACCTATTTCTTAAATAGGTGACGTCCACAGGTTGGGCCTTTTCCTCTCAGCCTCTGCTGCACATGCGAACTGTCTTTGGACATGCCTATATAAACCCTGACATGCTCTTGAAACGTAGGTGTCTCGAAATCTAGTTGACAAAAATAACCATATTTCCTTTATGAAAAAAGATATCTTCCTATCTAGAGATGTAGCTTACTTACAGATCTTGTGGATTCTTGGACCATGTAACTTTTTCTATCACCTGTGTTTAAACTAGTCTCATTTTGACAGAAAGAAAGACTACTCAACCCTGTATTTTCCTCTAATCACTACTTCTACTTTCTTTCATAGTTAAACTCAAAGCAATAGTCTATAATACTTACTTTACCTTTCTCAGTCAAATCCACTGAGGTCTTAATGTATGAGGATTTTTTTTAACAATTTTCTTATCTTGAATTTTATATAAATTCATACTGCCTAAATTAGATGTTAAAACTCTTGAGCTGGGTGCCGGTGGCTCACGCCTGTAATCCTGGCTACTCAGGAGTCTGAGATCTGAGGATCACGGTTCAAAGCCAGCCTGGACAAGGAAAGTCCGTGAGACTCTTATCTCCAATAAACCACTAGAAAACTGGAAGTGGCACTGTGGCTCAAGCGGTAGAGCGCTTGCCTTGAGCTGAAGGGCTGAGGGATAGCACCTAAGCCCAGAGTTCAAGCCCCACAACCGACCAAAAAAAAAAGAAAAGAAACTCTTGAGTTTAGCAAACTTACCTTTGTAGGTTGTTTTGCCATGGTGTGTGTGTGTGTGTGTGTGAGTGTGTGTGTGTGATCATTTTGTTCATATTCTATATTTTAAACATGTCTCTTATTAACAGTTTTAAAAAATCCAGTCTATTTTTTTTATTGTGAGAATACCGTACAGAGGAGTGACAATTACATGGGCAAGTACCAGTCTAATTTTTTTAAATACTGGGGATTGGATCCATAGCCTCACACATGCTAGGCAAGTACTTCACCACAACTATGCCTGCCGCCTTTTGTGTTTTTATTTTTGAAACAGGGCCTAAGGCTATCTTAGCCCAGACTGATATGATTCCTTTCCCTCTGCCTCCTGAATAGCTGGGATTATGGGCATGTGCCACCCATCTAGCCATGGATAATCTCCTTAGTTAGATCTTCAACTTATATTTAATATATTTAATAATTAATATATATGCATTATAAGTGTCATCATTTTACTTTTTATTTGACTTTTTTTTTGCCAGTCCTGGGGCTTAAACTTAGGGCCTGAGTTCTATCCCCTGAGCCTCTTTTGTGCTCAAGGCTAGCACTCTGCTACTTTTGGCATTTTCTGAGTAGTTTATTGGAGATAAGAGTCTCACAGACTTTCCTGCCTGGGCTGGCTTTGAATCTCGATTGTCATATCTTAACCTCCTTAAGTAACTAGGATTACAGGTGTGAGCCACTGGCACCCAGCTTAATTTTGTTTTATATTTTTTCTTGCCTTCTTTTAGATTAATTAAATAATTTATTGTACTTTGATACTGCATTTATTATAGTATTCTTTTACTCTCCTTGTAGAGGTTATTTGGCATGTTATGATATGCATTCTTGATTTGTGACACTCTAATACATCTATTTTTATCATTTCCCCAATAATACAGATATACCTTGACTACAGTTTGGTTATATACTAATAAACTCTGTAAATTGAAACTATTGTAGACCAAATATGCCCAATGCATTTAAACTATCAAATATCCTAGCTTAGTAAAACAACACACTATAGTATCAGTTTTTTCCTGCCATGATTGCCTAACTGACAGAAAGTTGTAGCTCACTGCTTCTGTCCAGCTTTGCCAAAGAACATCATAGTATATGCCGTAGCCTATGGAAGACCAAAACTCAAAGTGCAGTGTCTACTGAACATACATTGCATTGTGCACCAAGATAAAGTTGAAAAAAAATACTTAATTTTACAATCGTAGGTTGGGGGCTATTTATACTTAGAACCTTAGAACATTTTATTTTCATGTACACCCTCCAATCTTGTGGAAAGTTGGTTATGAGCCAATACATAACACACAGTATATTTTCTGGCAGAAATAAATGTGTGTACATTACAAAGGAAGTTGTGGGAGAAAATGATTAGATTTTTATAGGATGATCAGGAAATTTAATGAGTCTACCAGATGAAAAAAAAAATACTGAAAGCACCTGTTAGTAGAACTGACTGTGTAAAAATGCCATGAAATAGACCACATGGTATTAGGAATTGTAAGCAACTAAATAATGTAGGAGCTTAACATCTTTTGATTTGATAAGTAGAACTATTCATATTTGCTTGCAGTAGGTTCTAGGCCAGATATCTTTCTTACTTATGAAAAAGAAGCAGCTGTAATTAAAAGAATACTAAGCATTTGATGTGCAAAGGTGGCCTTTTTTCCTTTTTTAAAATGATTATTTTAAAGGTGATGTACAGAGGGGTTACAGTGACATAAGTCAGGTAAAGAGTACTTTCTTTTTGAACAATGTCACCCCTTCTCTCCCAGTTTTTCCCTCCCGTCCCCATCCACAAGTTGTATAGTTTGTTTTCAACTTAGTGTCTCGTTAGTACCACTACTGCATTTGTTCTCCCTTTGTCCCTCCATTTCTGTGCCCCCCCTTACCTCCCAAAGACAGATAAACTAACAAGACAAAAAGAAAACGAAACAGCAACAAAGAAAAAGTCTCTTGTTTCCATTTCCTGGAGATCATTTCCATAAACATTATTTTATATGATCAGAAGCACATAGGCATTGTGCCTTTGTGTTCCTCTCCTAAAAATATCCTTGTCTGTTGTGAATAGTGCAGCAATGAACATGGATGTGCATATCCTGTTCATTTGTGTATACTACCCTGGCTCATGGTGTTCTGTGTAGATGCCCAGGAGTGGTATGGCTGGGTTGTAAGGAAGGTCGATGTTTAGGTTTTTGAGAAATCTGCAGATTGCTGTCCAGAGTGGTTGTACTAGTTTCCATTCCCACCAATAGTGCAGAAGGGTTCCTTTTTCCCCCACATCCCTGCCAACAATTGTTTGAATTCTTGATGTGGGCCAATCTAACTGGGATGAGATGGAATCTCAGAGTTCTGATTTGCATTTCCTTTACTGCCAGGAATGATGAGTGTTTCCTCATGTGTTTCTTCACCATTCTTACCTCATCTTCTGAGAAGTCTCTCCTTAGCTTCTTTTCCCATTTAATGACTGGTTTATTAGCTTAAGGAGGGATTAGTTTCTTCAACTCCTTGTGTATATTGGATATTAGGCCTTTGGTGTATTGCTGGTGAAGATCTTCTCCCAGTCTGTTAGCTGTCTTTCAGTTTAGTAACTGTTCTGTCATTACATTTGTATATCTATACAAAATTAGAAACTGAGAAGCTGAATTAGACAACTTTCTTATTTTTGTTGAAAAGTTAAAGTTGCCAGGAGAATATGGAAAACAAAATCTTAGTTCTTTAGTGATATAATGTAAGCTACAAATGTGAACAATACATACTTCTTATTTTTGGCTTTGGTGTGTCTGTGTGTCTGTGTCTGTGACAGTCCTGGGACTTGAGCTCAGCTATTTTGCTCTAGGCTGGTGCTCTACTGCTTGAGCCACAACTCCAGGATTTTTGGTGGTTAGTTGGAGATAAGAGTCTCAAAGACTTTGCTGCTGGGGCTGTCTTTGAATTGCAGTCTTCAAATCTCAGCTTCTTGAGTAGCTAGGTTTACAGTCATGAAGCACCAGTGCTTGGCTTTGCTGGTTATTTTAAAGATGAAGTCTACCAGACTTTCTGCCCAGGGTTGCCTCAAACTTTGATCCTCTGGATCTCAGCCTCTTGAATAATAGACCAGTGTTTTAGTGTAGCTTCATATATGATGTTTGCCCCTTACTCATGTCATTAGCATTTTAAACATGTCAGCACTCTTATTTATGTTTCTTTTTGTATTTTGCCCATAGTTAATCAAATAATTTCTTCCTAGCCATTCAAAAAGTACTTCTTTGAACTAAATATTAACATTTATATATTTTTTGAAATATATACATATAATATAGTATGTATAGAGAAGTTGGGTGGCTTTCATTTGAAATACTTTGTTATTCATGACAAAAATATCAGTTTTCTAAAATGTGTTCTTTAACCTTATACTGTAATAAAATACAATCTTATAATTAATAGGAAATTGGAGAGACAAGTATTTTTAGCTAGAAACAGGAGTAACCATTTTTATGGATTTTCTTTTAGGTTGACACCGTCCGAATTGTACATATTCATTCTGTCATCATCTTACGACGTTCTGATAAGAGGAAGGATCGAGTAGAAATTTCTCCAGAGCAGCTGTCTGCAGCCTCAACAGAGGCGGAGATATCCTTATCAATCAACATGTGCTCTGGGGCTTGTGGGCTAAATTGATCTTATTACTGTAGTCACTCTGCTTTACATGGCCACTCTCTTTACACTGACTTGACAGTCACTCTTTCACATATTTTCTTTCAGATGCTTCTTTCCTAATTTTCATATTTACTCTTTAGATCCAGTACTTTGGTTAATCAGAGTTTCTCATCCTCTTTCCCAGTGGATTTTTCAGGAAAATTAGTAACTTTTGACACTTGTGCCCTTAAACATTAAGAGGTTCTCATGTGGGGGATGAAGAAGATCTGGACTGAACGTTTGTGGGGAGGGCTGAGCCCTGTAGGCAAAGAGCATGTAGACAACTTCTGGGAAGAGTTTGCATCCTTGAAAGTTAGCAAATGAAATACTGTGTAAACATGTACTGAATAAGGAGGCAGAGGAGGTATAAAAAACAGAGCCCTTTGATGTCAACATGAGTCTGCTGAGTCTGTGCTACCTCAGTAGACTGCTTCCTGTAAGAGTGCCTGGCCTCACGTCGCCCTGCTTGAGAGCCCACTACAGTTCCACAATCAAAGTTCCAGGGCTAAATACTGTGAAAATGAGCTCTGTGAAGAGTTCCATTAACCTTACTCTGTATTCCTTGTTCCTCCCCTCACCATTCTTTTCTGTTCCTTCTTCCAGTTTTCCTAATTCTAGGCCATTTACTATCTTGGTCTCTGTCTTTTGAAGGGATTGGGTTTTGAGACTTACCCTCAAAACTATACTGGTGAGAACTGAATACGCTATTCTGTAGTAAATATAACTGAAGAATTGTTGACATGCTTCCACTAATCAGAACTTCATACCTCATCCAATGCAAGTTAAATTGCACCAGTGCTTTTAGTTAATCTGTTGTACTTTTTAAAGTTTATACTGTTCTTATTTACTGCCTATTTCTAAAAATTACTTTTTAGGAATCTATAGGTCCATTTGATCATAAATTCCCACTATTGAATTTAACATTTGGTTGCTGACAGTTCATTGTTACAAAGCAATAACACAGCTAGATACTAATGGCTTATATCTGTAATCCCAGCTACTCAGGATACTGAGATCTCAGGATCTAAGGATCACAGTTCAAAGCCAGCCTGGGAAGTAAGGCCCATGAGGCTATTTTATCTCTATAATCAAGCACCAAAAAAAAATCCCGGGGGCTGGAAAGTTGGCTCAGTGGTAGATTGCTTGCCTCGCATGCATGAGGCCCTGGGTTTTATTCCTCAGCACCACATAAGCAGAAAAAAAAGCTGGAAGTGGCGCTGTGCCTCAAGTGGTAGAGCGCTAGTCTTGAGCTGAAGAGCTGACGGACTGTGCCCAGACCCAGAGTTCAGCTCCCATGACTGACAAAAAAAAAAATTCTGGAACTGGAGCTGTGGCTCAGGTGGTAGAGTGGTAGCATTTAGCAGAAAAGCTCAGGGACAGTGCTCAGGCCCTGAGTTCAAGCCCTGGGACCAACACACAGACACACAGGCCCTGAGGTCAAGCCCTAGGACCAACACACACACACACACACACACACACGCACACACACGCACACACACGCACACACATGCACACACACACACACACACACAGGCCCTGAGGTCAAGCCCTAGGACCAGCACATACACATGCATGCGTGGAAAGCAGTAGCGTATGTACTATATAATGACATCTGTTATTTTTTTCATCATCAGAACATGATTTTAGAATTTATAAGCTGAATTCTTCATACACATTTAGAGTATTTCTTCTCATTCAGATCTGTTAAATACTTTCTCTAAGAAAATTTGGACTTTATAGTCTTTCCTTTGAAATGAAGAAAGATGGAATCTTTTGGCTTATGTATACATTCTTTTTAATAGTTACTATAAATATAATTTATTGATTATATATCCATAATATATGAAGTATACATTTTGTATCTTGTTTTATTTAAAAAAATTTTTACTTTGAGATATTTGTAACGGAAAAGTCTCTGGCCTTAACCCAGTTTTGGCTGAAGTTTGCCTGTTTTATAATTATGGTAACAATTAGGAAAGTAGGCAGTTGACACAGATAGGGTATATGTAGTTGTGTGCTATTTTGTCAAGTGTACATACATGAACTTCCCTCACATTGAAGATACAAGATTGTTCCATTACTGAAAACTCACCTTTCCACTTCCTTTCCCTAGTCATTATTTACTTCTTCCCCACCACTTTACCGCTTGCCAACCACTAATCTGTTCATCTCCTTTAAAAGTTTGGATTTCATTGCTGCATTGTATCCCTGACAGATTTTTTTTTTTTTTTAATTTTAGCCCCTAGGTATTTCTGTATCCTGAGTTGGATCCAAGAGCTGTGTTCTGGGAAGCTGTTGAGTTAGTTGGAAACATGGTCCATGCTTTTGAGTTTGACTTTTGAGGATAAGCAGTATGGACCAGAGCAGCTGGTAATGTAGATTTTTCACACTACTAAGACAACAGTCTTCTGAGCAGTAGCAAAATTCCCCATTTCGTGAGATTGTCTTTCCTGGCTGGCAGACTGTTGCAGTTACCTACCATCCTCTTGAAGTCTCTAGCCCAGGCCTTAGGTAGTTCTCTCACATGATTGCGCTCATCAGTAGTCTGCTGATGAGTAGTCTCCAGTGGGAACTATTGGGAATGTCCAAGGTTTGCCTCAACCTTTGCAACTGTCCTCTCTGGTCCTGGGCCTCAAAACCAGCAAATCTGGACTCAGTAACCTTTCTGAACTGTTGAGATGGTCTGGCTGGCTCTGTTTCAGTTTCCCTTCCCTGCTCATGTGTGGGCTGGATGTCCTCTCCAAGACTCACCAGATTTATTTCCCTTCCCTGCTCATGTGTGGGCTGGATGTCCTCTCCAAGACTCACCAGATTTATTTCCCACCTATTGGCTTTCTTTGAATGATGACTATTGTTTTGAAGATTGTTGCTTGGTATATATTGTTCAGTTTCTTTGTTTTCAGTCTTGACCAGAAACAGAAAGCCCATTCATTGGTATTTCATTGTGATAATTTCATCGACACAGTGCACTTTGAATAAGTACACTCCCTCTTTTGTATTCCTTCCTGTATATATACACACACACATATGTAATGTTACCCCATTCGTTTTCCCTGTACTTTCTCTTCCTCCTCCCTCTGGCTGATTCCCATCATCACTGTCATTTAGATCTAGATTCCACATATGAGCAAAAACATGTGCTAGTCGATTTTTTTGAGCTTGAGTCATCTTGTTCAACATGATGATACCCTGTTCTATCCACTCTCCTGCAAGTGATATTTTTTTAATCCATTTATCAGCTGTTGGCCACCTAGGCTATTGCCAATAATGTTAAGATAAATATATGTATACTAGTTGTATTTCATATGTTAATTTGCTTTCCTTCCTATATATACCCAGTAGTTGTATAGCAGTTGTGTAGCATGAGGTCGTAGTTTCTAAATGACTCTCCACACTGACTTTCATAGTGGTTACGCTAGTTTGCACTCCTACCAGGAGTTAATTTTCTTTCCCCTACAATCTCACAGGCATTGTTGTTTTCTTGATGATTGCCATTCTGACTGAGGGGTAGGGAGTAACATTGAATCTTAATCTAAAGACTGTTTTGGTCTGCATTTCCTTTATGGGTAAGGATGTTAATATTTCTTCATGTATTTATTTGCCTTTTGTCTGTATAATTCTTTTCCTACTTACTAGTTGGATTAGTTATACATTTCTAATTAATTTTTTTGAGCACTTTGTATATTCTGGAAATTACCCTTCCTCCTTAAATAGCTAGCAGAGGTTTTCTCCCATTCTTGGGTTGTCTCTTAATTCTGGTAATTGTTTCCTATTGTGTACAGAAGTTGTGTGTGTGGGTGTGTATGTATGTGTGTGTGTGCATGCACACGCGTGCACAGGTCCTAGAGCTTAACCATTTTTGCTCAAGACTAGAGCTCTACCTCTTGAGCCCCACCTGCATTTCTGGCTTTTCTTTGGTAGTTAATTGGAGATAAAAGTGTCATACACTTACCTGCCCAGACAGGCTTTGAACCACAATTCTCAGATCTCAGCCTCCTGAGTAGCTAGGATTACAAGCTTGAGCCAATAACACCCAGTGTATAGATTTTTAATTTGATTTTCTGAGAAATTACTATCCTTTCAGAAATTAATTATCTATATTTATATCTTCTAGTATTTTCCTATAGAAGTTTCAGATTTTTTTTCTTTTTTTAAAAATTTACTTTATCGTTATTTTAAAGATGATGTACAGAGAGATTATAGCTACATGAGTCAGGCAATAAGTACATTTCCTTTTTACAGTGTCTTCCCTTCCCTCACTCTCTCCCAGTCAAAGTTTCAGATCTTAACATTGAGATCTTTGATCCACTTTAAACTGGCTTTTATACAGTTTGAGAAATAGGGGCTTAGTTTCAGCCTTCTGACTACAGATAACCAGTTTTCCCAGCACTCTTTGTTTCCAGTATGTTTTTGACTTCTTTGTCAAAACTAAGATGACTGTAGCTTTACAGATTTATTTTCAGGTGTTCTGTTGATCTTGTATGCTTTTGTGTCAGTGCCATGCTCTTTTTGTTGCAGTGGCTCTGTACCACAGTTTGAATTCTGATATTATTATACTTCTAGCCTTGCTCTTTTTTCTCAGTATTACTTCTGGTATTCAGAGTCTTTTATGTTTCCATATATATTTTAGCAGTGAGTTGACTATTTAAATGAAGGATGACATTGGGAATTTGATGGGAATTGTATTGAATCTGTTGATTTTGTTAGTAATATAGCAATTTTTATCTTAATTGTGCTAATAGATGAACAAGGGAAGACTTTTCATTGTCTACTGTGTCCTTCAATTTCTTCTTTCAATTTCTTCCTCTAACATTATTAGCCGTTTGAGGTATTTTTTTTCAGTCTTTTATGAGTAGGATTATTTTTCTGACCTACCTACCTATCTTCCTTTCTTCCTTTTATCCTTCCTTCCTTCCTTCCTTCCTTCTTTTTTT